GGACCTGGGACCTGTGAGACCTTACAAGACCTGCGAGGCCTGTGGTGCCTGTGGGACCTGTTGGACCTGTGGAACATGTGGAACCCGTGGTACCTGTGGGGCCAGTCGGAGGACCTGTGCGGACTGTACGACCTGCGGGGCTTGTGGGACCTGTAAGATCTCTGGAATGTGTGGCACCTGTGGGGCCTGTGGGGTCTATGGTGCATGTGGGATCTGTGGGACCTGTGTGACCGTGGGAACTGTGGTGCCTGTGAGACCTGTGCAACTTGTGGGGCCTGTTAGACTTCTGTGACCTGTGGGACCCGTGGAACCTGTGTGTGTGTGCATGTGGGGGGGCTTGTGAGGCCTGTGGCACCTGTGCGGCCTCAACGACCTGAGGGACCGTAGCCGTCCGGACAATGTAGCCGACATCGAGGCGAGGGCGCGATTCCCGAACAAACTGTCAGGAAGTCTCGGGCGAAGCGGCTGCTCGGGCTCCCCGTACCCCTGTGGGTCTTACAGTCAACCCGCATAGTAAGGATTGGCAACCTTCCCAAGGGTACCCTTGCATCCTTGCCTCCTCGGTCTATCCTTGGCCGCTTTGGCTGGCCAACCTCGTTCGAAAAACGTTCACGTGGCACTCCAAGGCCCTTGCATTCTCACCGCGCATCCTTGTTATACGGGTTGACACCACCATGAGAGCCCTCTAGCGAAACGCCACTACGGAACGCAGCAGGCGCGGAGGCGAGAGCACGATCCCTGGACAAGTTGTAAGGACCTCTCGGGCGAGACGCCTGCCAGACTGGGCGGTCTCGGCCTCCCCGCCCCCCCTTGGGGTGGCCAGCAGAGGCGAGCGCACGATTCTCGAACGAGTTGTGAGGTGGTCTCGGGCGAAATGGCTGCCGGACCGGGCGGTCTCGGGCCCCCCGCAGGCCAGCCAACATTGGGGGAGCTGTGGTCCTTACCCCCTTGGGGGGTACCCATCGATTTCGACACCCCTCCCGAGAGAGATCGTCGATGCGATGGTTTCCCCCAGGGGGGTAAGGACCACAGCTCCCCCAGTTGTGGCTGGTCGGCCCTGGTTCCCTTGTGGCAGCCGGCGTTGAGGCGAGAGCCCGCCTGGCTCCCGACTGAGTTGTGAGGAAACCTCGGGCGAAACGGCCGCTGGGCTGGGCGGTCCAGGGCCCCCGTCACCCCTGTGGGGTTCCTCTGCGTTTCTTGTCCCCCGCCCTCCTGTGTGCTGGGTCCTCGTTTTGAATCCGAAGGGCCGCGCTCCACCTCTTCCTCACCTCCTCCCCTTCCTCTCTCCTCCCTCCCTCCTTTCCTCTTCCTGTTCATCACCTTCCTCTTCCACTTCGGCACATCCCTCCCACGTCTCGTGGCTCCTTAGGGAGCTCCACGCAAGGTCCCAGTGGCTGCGTCCGCATTGTGACTTGAGTTCATTTCGGCTCACCCCTGACACATTTCCTGACCCCATAGAGAGCTCCACCCAAGGCCCCAGTGGCTGCGTTCGCATGGTGGCTCGGGTCCATTTCGGAACATCCCTCACACGTTTCGTGGCCACTTAGGGAGCTTCACCCAAGGCCCCAGAGGCTGCGTCCGCATGGTGCCTCGGGTCCATGACGGCACGCCCCTCACACGCTCCGTGGGCCCACATGGGAGCTCCACCCAACCGCAGTGGCTGCGCCCGCATAGTGACGCGGGTCCAGTTCGGCTCACCCCTCACACGCTTCGTGTTCATACGGAACTCCACCCAAGGCCCCAGTGGCTGCGTCCGCATGGTGATGCGGGTCCATCTCGGCACGCCCCTCACACGCTTCGTGGCCCTGTAGGTAGCTCCACCCAAGGCCACAGTGGCTGCGTCCGCATGGTGGCTCGGGTTGATTTCGTCAGACCCTCACGCGGTTCATGGGGAGCTCCACACAAGGCCCCAGTGGCTGTGTCCGCATGGTGACGCGGATCCAGTTCTGCACGCTCCTCACACGCTTCGTGGCCCCATAGGGAGCTCCACACAAGGCCCCAGTGGCTGCGTCCGCATGGTAACGCGGGATCATTTCGGCAAACCCCTCAAACTTTAGTGGCCCGCTGGGGAGCTCCACGTAAGGCTCCAGTGGCTGCGTTCGCATGGTGACTCGTTTTGATGTCGGCACACCCCTCACACGCTTCGTGGCCCCTTCGGGGGCTCCACGCAAGGGCCCAGTGGCTGCATCCGCATGGTGACTCGAGTCCATTTCGGCACACCTTCTCTCACGCTTCGTGGCCCCATAGAGTGCTCCACCCAAGGCCCCAGTGCTGCGTCCGCATGGTGACGCGGGTCCATTTCGGCTCACCCCTGACACGTTTCGTATCGTTTCGTGGTCCCATAGAGTGCTCCACCCAAGGCCCCAGAGGCTGCGTCCGCATGGTGCGTCGGGTCCATGTCGGCACGCCCCTCACGCGTTTCGTGGCTCCACAGGGACTCCCCCCATGGCCCGAGTGGCTGCGTCCGCATGGTGACGCGGGTCCATTTCGGCACGCCCCTCACACGTTTCGTGGCCCTGTAGGTAGCTCCACCCAAGGCCACAGTGGCTTTCCGCATGGTGACGCGGGTCCA